CATGTTGAATGCCGAAAAAAGTGGAAAATTCCGGCCTGGCAACTTTAGCATACGAAACGATGACTGCAGTGCAGAAGTGCTGGCGCTGCCAGCACTTTCAATCTCCTCCTTATTGACCGCCCTCAAACGGACGGGTCGTCAAATATGCGCGTCGCGCGTACTACTACTACTACCCGTACTAGTGGTATCAGCAGGGTATTAGTCAACAAATTTTGCAGCAATAGGATAATGATCTCAAGCCATGGATTTCCATGGCTAAGAATGATTGTGCAACCCGGAATTCCGGGAAAATCATGAGCACCATCGACAACATCAACCACACAAACAATGACTGCTACTGGTAATCTTGTTATTATTATTGCTGTTATTATTACTAGTATCACTACTTCTACTACTACTACTCCTACTACTACTACTACTACTGCAGTATTGTCACAAATGCTTCAAAAAAGTAATAATAATGCCCCACAAGATTGTGCACAAATGCCGGACATGTTCTGGTGTCAAAGAAAGAATGGAGTCATCTTGCAGCCAAAGTTGATTTATGACTCGACGGGGAGTTGCCTCATCTCAGGCCATGCGTCACCATCTCTTTTTCCGAACCGGGCAAGAGGCAGCGCTGTGAGGCTCTTGCCTGTGCACGCCGCAATTCATGTGAGCTGTGACTTGGTTTGGTGTAATGTGGATTCCATTAGGAGCCAGCGTCACTCGGCAACGCCATAGTTTGGTAATCGTGATTTGAGTGGATACCGATTGAAAAACTTGAATGTGACGCACAGCTCATTCGGCTAGCCGCATTGGAATCGCCAATGTGGTCTGTCCGCATCTTGGGATGCAACATGTCCGTTGCCCCGCACTACGCTTCCAGCCCCAAACCTTGCGTTAGTAAAATAAAATAAAACCTTTGTGGGCTTCAGTTGCCTGCATGGCTCGCTTATTTTCACCACACGAACAGCATGGATGTGGGAGGCATCCTGTTTAAACGTGGCTTTCAGTAGGACTTTTTGTGAAAGACCCAGCTCGTGACAAGTGGCACGACAGTGGCTGGGGTATTCCTGGGAAAAAGTTATTTTGGACCAGATTGATATATAACCTCATATAACCTGTGAGAATTACATGTTTAAAGAGGATCTATATTTATCCCAGCTGGCATGACCTTCCATCCACGTTCCTCGCCGGAGCTCTGCGCTGAGACTCGAAGGTGCCACAAGGCTAAGGGTTTGAAATGATGTACATCATTGACACCTTCAGGGTCTTCGGGTTGAAGTTTCCTCACGTCGCTAGATGTATGAGAGCCTCGTGGGATAAAATTCTAAAAGATATGCCTGCGGCAAGGTCCTTAAGACCGCAGAGGCTACGAGATGCGAAGCCAAACTATTCCAGCCGCATGGAATATTGTTCTGTGAGACTCTAGGTTGCCTTCGGTACACGCGAGGCCAGGGCCTTTGCCTCTGGGAAACGCATGGTTGGACTACGCCTGCCGTATTTCTGAAGGTGCTCTTCCGCCACCGGCCGTAGTTCAATCAAAGACCTCGTCTGATAATTAAGTGATTTTAGTTCCCCCAGCACCTGCAAAAGCAGTGTCGCATGACTATCATATGATTGTAGTAGTGTTCCTTTTTGTGAGGAGTTGGAAGTTAAAACCCCTGTATTACCTACCATAACCCCTATATGATCCCAGTTTCCATTTCTTCTCCACTATTGGGGTAACAGCCCTATACAGTCCCTACATAACCCCTATACAAAACCCTAAACCCTAAACCCTATACCATCCCTAAACATGAAACCCCTATTTCATACCAACAAATCTTCTTGTAGTAGAGTTTTACCAGAACCACAGAGCTCAGATCAACAGCTGACCTTGCAAAACACTTTGTTATCCCTTGGTATAGAAGTCCCTTTAAAGCGGATGCAGGGGATATATCTTGGGAATAAATATGGATATAGAAATATATATGTATAATAAGAATACTATAATAGTAATAGGGTATATATTGGGATTGCATAGGGGGTTACGTTGGGGCTTTATAGAGATATCACTACCAATAATCCAGAATCAAGTGGAAAAGAACATGGAAACTGGGATTATACGGAGTTTTACAAGGGTCTGGAGTTTCCAAAGATTAGAGGTACATTTGGGGCGCATAATAAGGATCATGGTATTTTGGGGCTCTGAATTAGGTTCCCCCTATTGTTGGAAACCGCCAAATGTTGACGAGCCATTGCATACCATTCCATTCTTGCTTGATCCCACGTCGTCACTGCGGCCTGTCCGCAAGACACTATGCCAAAGAGAGCCCTCTATCAAAATTCTCTTCAGAAAATACCAGCTCGTCACTTGGTAAACCAAGCCGACAACAAGTAGTGCAAGCCAACTAGCTACTCATAAAGGCCCAGGACCTTCAGAAGTTGCTGAAGGCCCCGTCCAATGATGCTGGGAGACTTCTCAGCACGATCGTCACACCTTCCACTTCAGTCTTCGCTGCAGAGGCGATGAGAGGATATGAACGTTCCGCAGAAGCCACACACCCCAATGTACGTCCTTGGCCTGCTTCTCACGTTTAGGTTTTCAAAGGGGTTTGACAAAAAGTCCTTTTGAACATGAGGATCCAGAAGTGTGAAATCATGACACTGCAGCAGTGTAGGCCCGGGATTTTGTTCTTTGAAGCATGTTGTGCCTTGGTTTCCTAGAAGTTGTTCTACGTGGACAGATCATTGCCTGAAGCGCTTTTGCGACCGTTTTGCCGACACACGAAGCAAGAGCTGAAAAACGCCCGAGGGATCTGGTGGACGCGTGCCCGCTCCAGCTCACGTCAACACTGGGATATTTTTGGGAATGACCTTTAATGACTATGATCCAGAATCCCTTTATCTTCCTTAACAAGCCATAAACAACACACTGTTTTTTCGAGGTCGCCTAAATTTTTCTCAGCACAGTCCGGAAACTTCTGAGTCAGTAGCTCCGGGCAACTCCGGCATCAGGAATCCGAGTGACAGCTATATTGCCTATAGTAATACTACTATATTCATGTTCTATATTACTGTTGGTGTTCTTATATTACTAATACTATTTTACTATTATTAGTACTGTTATTGTTGCCATTACTGTTACTGTTGCTATTACCATTACTAGTACTATTTCTTCTACTATTATTATTACTGTGACTCTATTGCTGTGTTATTATAGTACTATACCACTCATTATATTACTCTATTACTCTCTGACCATATGACCATATTTTCAGATTTCTATATGATTATATTACATTACGAAAATATTATATTCCTATATTGCTATTAGTACCAGTACCAGTACTAATCGTTACTATACCTATTACTGTTACTATTACTATATTACTAGTACTATTTAAGCATGACAACTCGTAGAACAGAAGGCAGTGCAAAGACAACGTGGTGATTCCCAAGCATCAGGAATCTCTTTCCCGGACCTTGGTGGTGGCCCAGAGATCACGGTGTCGCTGCCGGACCCCGCTTGCATACCACATGAGGGGTCAGGGCTTTTCGATTTTTAGGCTTAGTACTCTTATTTGCATGTGCTTTTTCATTATTGGTATCAGTAGTATTGTTCGTATTCGTCTTAGTGGGGTTGACTCAGAGTTTGACGTGCTTCTTTAAGCCTGCCTTCTTGCGGACAGGAGGGGTCCATCGACCGTTTCCAGAATCTCTTTGCTCGCGAGGCCTCGGAGCAATATAGGGAAAGCCACAGCTCGAGCTATCTTAAACACCCCGAACTTTTTTTTTGAAGCCCTATCGGATGGAGAACTGGGGCTTAACTAGGGCTTTAGGAATGGAACATGTGGCTTTGCAGGTTGGCTTCGGGTCAATGGAGTCATGGGGGTCCACCTGCACGACTGAATAGTGTTCTTTGGTGTTTGTCATATTAATATTCTCCTTATAACATTCCATACCCAAAAGGAAAATATCATCTTACACTACATTGGTCATCATAGATCCCCCAAATACCTAAAATGAAGCCAACCGAGGCGAAGGTGTACCAAATGGAGTGCGAACGTCTTGCACGAGAAGATGCAAAAAGTGTGGCTTTAGGGTTACGTAAGGGTTGGGGTTCTTTACACCAAGAGCGCTCAATGAAGCTCCGGGGTTGTATTCAGGAAGCCTTCAAGGCTTGGTGCATGGTTGTGGGAATTCTTTGGGAGCGAGGCCACCTCTGCGAATTGCAAGATGTAGCAAAAAGCACTTTCTTTGAGAACGTAGCTTGAAATCTTGATTGGGCCCTGGTCCCAATTTGCAATCGTTTGACTCTTTCAATTCCATGGGGGCCAGGCCACGACATTTCCGGCATGGATTCTATTTACTGGGGCATTCTTGGCAAGAATGTGAAAACTATTCTTCTATTATGCACCATCATCCGTATGTATCCCGTATCAAGCCATAAACATTCTTTCCATCCAGCCTGACCACTGAAGCTCGAGACCCCCAAACCTTCCCGCATCGCCCAAGCCTGAACACTTCTAAAGGGGGGTTTAGCCGTACTACTCCTAATAATTGAAAATCAAATGGAGAACGAGCTGCAAAATGAAATGGATGCTGAGATGATCTAGGGGTTTGCCTAGTTTCCATCCAAAGGCGGCCCCAACAGAGACCGCAACATGCTATAGTTCTGCTTTTCGGTGCCCCCTAAAAAGTCCTCAACCCCTAAACCCCTAAACCCCTAAACCCTGAACCCTAAATCCCCCAACCCAAAACCCCCAAATCCTAAACCCTGAACCCTAAACCCTAAATCTTACCTGAAGGGCTCCGTAAAAATTGCTACCCAGCGGCCATGGCACCCAGTGAAGCAGACGCTGCGGCGCTGCTGAAGGTGGCACCCGGAGCGGAGGAGGCCAGAGCTAGACATGGTGGGGGGGAGGGGGTTATAAACGGATTATATATATATATACATATTATATTATCATATATATATATGTAACATAAGTATACATATATATATATACATATATATATATATCTATATATCGCCATATATATATATATAGAGAGGTTATATATATGTGTTACTGTAGATATCTGTATATATAATGTGTATATCTCGTAGCAATGGAAAAGAAAATGGAACCTGCTCTATATAGGAGTATGTTCTATACGGAATATCAGTAATATTGGCAAGATGGAAACATGTGTAAGGACATATTGGGGCTATATGGGCTTGGACTGTGAGGTTATATACGAATATCCGGTAATAATGGGGAAGAAAAAGGAAACTACTGTATCATCTAGAGATGTATTGCGGCTCTATGGGTTGTATTATGGGGTTATATAGGGAATATCGAGTATGGAGAAGAATGGAAACTACTATAGCGTCCAGGGATATTTTGGGGCTATATGGGGTTGTATTATGAGGTTATATAGGTAATATATAGTCGTTGCAATAACAATGGAACAGAAAACGAAAACTATTTTATATAGAGGGTTATCTAGACACGGGATATTATCGTGGTTATTGGGGAATGGAGAAGAAAATGGAAATTGCTATATTGTGTAGGGATGTATTGGAATTGTATGGCATTGTATTGAGGGTTATATAGGGTTTAAATAGCCAGTAATAATGCAAAAGAAAATGGAAACTATTGCTATCGGGGTAAATAGGGGTGCATCAGGATTTGATATGGTCTGGGGTTAACAAGAATCGTACTTTTTTTGGGGGTTCCCATAGTCAGCCCATTGGCGTCAGGATGAACTCCGCAGGGCCTATCGAGAAGCAGCAAGGCAAGCTCAGATAGAGAGCACAGTCATGTTCTTGGCTTTGTGGTTCCATCTGCCCTCTGGAAAGAAAGCAATATAAAGGGACCCTGGTGGTCTTATCTAGGTTGCTAGGGTTTTCATGGAGGAAGCCTCGAGAAAGTGCGCCTTGTGCCGCGGTGTTCAGTCGGCTGCTAGAGCAAAATCGCAGCTGCCGAGCAGGGCTTTCCATCATGAAGGCGTGGCTAGCTAGTTTGCTGATCAGGCTTTGCCATCCGGACAAAGTGCCGGATCGTGAGGATGACTTCATCCAGCTTGGCGAGGCATTGGCGGCCGACTTTCATGCATGGCAAGCTTTGAAAAACCAAGCCCTGACGTCTACAGATTCTACAGGTCAACTCAAGACAGCAGAGAACCCTGGACCTTCCCACTGCTTCTTGAAGGCTTTGGAGGTGCTGCTGGCTCGGCCACAGTCTGCCACGAGTGGGTGCACAAGGAGCGAGAGGAGCGAGAGGAGCGAGAGCGAAAGGCACCTGCAACTCACGTTTGCCATGAGGTTCCAATTTTCCGCGTATCGGTATCGAATGGATTGCAAGGCATCACCTCATAGAGTAAGAGCAAGAATCGAGCACGTTTGCTCGAGTTCTTCAGCAACGGCCAATGCATTCCGCGTAATCCCAAGCATCTGCCTCCCGCTCATGTCTTTCTGGGTTACATCCCTCCTCATGCTCGCTGCACATGCACTCCTTTGTTCTTTTGCTTTCCATCCCTGGTAGCTTTTAGATTTGTTATGACAGCTGCAGAGGACAGTCGCGAAGAGTTGGGATTTCTTGAGACTGCCAGTTCGCAGTGTAGCCTTCAAGGTTTAAGTTGTAGCTTCTCAAAATCAGGAAACCCCAGAGTGAACTCTAATGCACTAGAAATCCTGATTAGGGAGACCTCCAAAAAAGGAACCCATAGCGCCCGGAAACTCGAAAGGTATTGCTCTGGGTCAGGCTGGACAAGTTCTTCTTCGGGACGCACTTCGGTTCCGATCAGTTTGACCCGCGTGCCTGGCTGGGACAAGCTGAGGCTGAGAGCCTGGCATCCGGAAAGCCTTTCCAGTGCAGGGGACCAAAAGACCTTGCCCAATCCCAACAACCCTTCTTGCACACTCCTTTCAGCTCCTTCCGCATGAGATCCCAAAGCTAATCCCCAGGCCCCTGTAAGTTTTGCCAACTTGCTGGTGTCTCTGCCGCAGCTAGACTTCCTCGCCTTTAGGTGCGTATGGCGATGCAAGAGCTGTCCTGAAGCCTCTTCAGTGTGCTGCCGCCTGAAGCCCAAGAAGCACAGCTGCCTCTGTGGCCACAAGGCGCGCAGGGGCGTTTCTGAGGGCTCAACTTGGAATGCTGCTCTGCCATCTGTTGTTTGATGCGTCTTTCCCTCTTTGATATTGACCCAGGTGGATGCACATGATCCCCGGCGCAGGTTTCGCTGCACCATGCCTGCTTGCAAATGCCGGCGCTTGGATCCTAGCAAGCAAAGATCGTCTCGGTGGTTCGGGTCGAGGCTTTGAAGATCTTTGAAGCTTTGATTTGGAGATTCTGCTGGATTGGGGCTGCAAAGGTTTGTGAGGTGCACGTTCAAGCTTGCCTCCAATTACTCAAGTCGCTTGCAATGTCACCCCGCCAATCAAGCATTACTGCCCATCATTGCTAGCTATTGGTTTGAATGAACGTCATTCACAGCCCGTTTCTGAAGGGCAGGCTTGAATGTAATCTTGTCCTTTGTTATATCGCTGTGTATTCCTAGGCACCTGTAAACATTCAATGTTTATGGACCAAAACCAACCCTGTTGATATACATCACTACACCATTATCCCAGTTTCCACTTCATTTTCCGCTCGCTCGCTTTCCATTTGAGTCTCTAATTTTGGGTTTTATAGGTCCCCAACCCCCAAACCATAAACCCTTTGTGGGGCGCCCAAACCTACCCTCGTCCTGGTACAAGGAGTTCTACGTGCAGCAGCTCGGCTGGGAAGCCAGGTGCGGTTGCAAACATCACCTCCGGGACCACAACAAGTCCCCAGGCCAATGAAACATGGGGTTGCTCTTCAAGGCGTAGAATAGGTATTTAGGATTTCGGGTTTCGGACTTAGGGGCCTTATAGAACGAGGGTTCTGTGAGCTTATACAGGAGCTGTACAGGGGGGGTAAATTTGGATGTATAAGGGCTTAGGATATTGCCCCCCAACAATGGAGAACCACATGGAAAGTTGGAAAAAGACATGGACACTGGGTTTAAGTAGAGGTTCTAGGGAGCAGGGTTTCTGTAGAACCCGGGTCCCTTGTTGGGTAGGGGTACCTACAATCAGTATTATAGTATTCAGAGGTCTATATTGGGGGCTCTTGCTTTATGAAAGCTACCACATGCCACTTTAAAGGTCTTTTTGGGTTATCGGCTAGGTATGCCGTGCTTAGCGCTTCATGGATTATACTTGTATTATCATATCATCATGTCGCTGAGTATGTTCACCTAAAAAGACAGGTTGTTGCCCTCATAGGGAAAGGGAAGAAGACACAGACGCACTTGCCGCATCTGTCGCGTGCTGCTGTTTTCTCGCTTGGAAGCAAAGGTCCGGGGAGCCACCGTACCGCTGCACAAAACTCTTGCCCGGCAAGGACAAGAAGCCGTGCCCCTGCAGTGGATTTCACGTTGCCTGGGTGTGCACCTGCGGGCATCCGTGGGAAGAGCACGAGACGACCTGGCAAGAATGCACATCGACTGCTGTATTCTCCCGAGAGTGGGTTGCGGGAGGCCTTCGACCTGAGTGCGTGGCTGAGGCAGAGGAGAAGCGCACGCGATGGAAGCAGGAGGCGGCAGACGTTGCCGAACGCCATGGCCGGGATGTTGCCACGAAGCTCATGGCCGACAAAGCTAAGCGGATGCAGGTTTCTATGTGCGCAGAGGCTGGCATGCGAGAAGCTATCGATGAAACACTGGACGGCACACGCTTGCCTCAGCGGAGCCCTCAGCCGTCCCGGCTGCGGAACTCAGCTTTGCAATCTCGGCCGTGCAGCACACGGGACGCTGCCCTGCGGGTGGTACCATCTCGGACAGGCATCAAAAGGCGCGGGGTAAGGTTGCTAAAGTGTGCGGAAGTGGTCTCGTGCCTCACATCCTGTCATCAGAACCATAGGTCGAAGCATGCAGGGTAGGAATGCTCAATGGAATCTCCCAGTGTTCTGGCAGGTAGTGTCGTGCGGGCCAGCATGTGGTTGGTTCGGTCAGCCACAGGCACGTGCCAGCAGAACGGAGGGGGACTCGTTTGAGGGCCGCCCACGAATCAGCAGCGCATCCGCAGGCGAGAGCGCTTGGCAAATGACCGGATGCCAAAAGAAAAGGATTTGTTTTGTCTTGGTGCTGGTGTGCAGCCCTCCGCTTCACCACATGATAGGAAAGTGATCATTTCAATTCTGTGTGGGGTGGGACTGGGATCATGCTGGACGTCCTAGCGGAATCAGCCTTAAGCCAAACTGAACCGCTTAGGCCCCTTCCCTCAACCTGCAAGCGTGTCTTCTACACATGCCTCACATGAGCAACGCGGTCAGCCCAACTCCGAAGTCTTGATCTCTGAGGCCGGGAGCTTCAGCGTAATGCTGGGATCGAGGAGACTCATGGGATACATTCACGAAGGGGTTGGCTGGATGCTTGCAGTTCAGATCCATCCCTAGAGGTTCAAGTTTGGGAGCCATACCCCGCTGTACCGAACCATCTGCCAGTCACTTTTGAATGGAATCTTTCAGCAGCATTTTGGGCGCGTGTGGGGGTAGCGAGATTATCGGTGCCTGCACTCAGGAGATGGGCGACGAAAATAGCTTCGTTTTTCACAGTGGAGGAGGCGCCAAGCACTAATCCGCCAGCTGCATGATGACAGGAGCCGAACTCGTGGGACATCCAACCGTCAGAGACCTCTTCCAATTTTGGCATGCAGCCGCTGCGTACACCTCCCCCGACATACCCAGAGCCAATTTTTCCACAGTTCTATCCTTCCACTTTCTCGAGCGGTAGACCGCAACAGTCCTCATATTCTGGACAAGCATATCCTCAACAACCCAATGAGCTTTGATTCTGCAAATCCATTCACAAACATATGCAGAGCTGCAACTCCAAAGCCTTTGTCCGTACTATTTCCAGCAGAGAATCTCTAACTTCCAGGAGGTCTGATCAAGCATCGGCCTGTAAGGCCTCAGGGCGAGATGCGGTCTCTCTCTCTACTTTCAGCTCGGAGACAAGATTTGTCGGATGCTGCGTCGAGGACAGATAAGGATGTTTCCCAAAAGTGACCAATACACTATACTCCACGATCCTAATTATAGGGATCCCCAAGAAGGTACCCCCAAATTTTGGAAACCCCCAATGTTTCCATGCTCTAGCGGACGCCTGTCTATTGCCCAAGAAATCTGAGCTGTGGGGGTTGTGAGGACAAATATAGGGGACATGATCTTCCATAATGGCCGTTTTGGAACAGGGATTTGGATCAAGATCCTTAAAAGCCACCATAGACCCCCAGTCTCCATTTCATGTTCATTTTGTTGTTCATTAGATCCTCCCTTATAGGGGAAATGATTTGAAGAATTCGGGTCAACTAGCCTCAACCCTAAAACCTAAACCCCTAAACCCATGTCTACAACTGCCGCCAGGTGAAGGCCTGCACCTCAATGGAAGACTGGGATTCAAATCCCTTTCAAGCGGTTATATAGGGATATGTATGCATATACATATATATATATGTGTGACAAGGGTTTTAAGGTTTAAGTTTTGGTTGGGGGTTTGGGGTTCTGGAGAGACTTGGGGCTTAAGGGATATACATATATATATATATACATGGAGAGGGGATATGTGAAAAGCATATAGCGACAAAGTTTAAGCTACTGTAAAGAGGGGGTGTATATATACATATATATATATAGAGGATATATATATATAGATATATGTACATACACATAGAGGATATGCATGTATGTATGTAGGTGGGTATGTATGTATGTATGTATGTATGTATGTATGTATGTATGCATGGGTTACATGGGGAAATGGAAAAGAAGATGGAAACTGCTCGGGGTTTAGGGTTTAGGGAATGGCAGAGAAACGAAGACTACTACAATGAAGACATCCAAGCCTGATGTTCCTCAAGCGACACATGGAGCGTGCAGCTTGATTTCTTGCGACCTTGTTGATTTCCTTTAGGTTGACGGGTCGGTGCACTGCTGATGCAGTGGGATGCGGAAAACCAAGTTTTTCAGGCAATAAATTGTGTTTTTTTTTGGGGGGGTGGGAGGGGG